CAGGAAGGAGTATGGTGGGGACTTCCTGAGGGCCAGGATGTCCTCCCCAGCCCTGAAGGCAGGAGCTTCTGGAAAGGTGACAGACTTCAACAATGGCACCTACTTGGTCAGCTTCACTCTGTTCTGGGAGGGCACAGTGGCCCTGTCTGTCCTGCTCATCCATCCCAGTGAAGGGGTGTCAGCTCTCTGGAGAGCAAGGAAACAGAGCTACGACAGAGTCATCTTCACCGGCCGGTTTGTAAATGGATCCTCTCAGGTCCACACTGAGTGTGCCTTGGTTCTAAACTCAAGTGTCGAGCTGTGCCAATATCTGGACGCCCAGGACCAAGAAGCGTTCTACTGTGTGAAGCCTCCAAATGTACCCTGTGCAGCTCTTACCCACATGAAATCAAAAAACAAGGAAGTTTCCTATCTTAGTCAGCAAGAGAGGAGCCTCTTTGAAAGGTAAATAATTATTGTTTCACAATTCTGGGGAGAAATTGGTAATCTAGGATGCACGGATTGTATTCTAAGCACTGTAACTTAGGGACTCTGTAAGAAGAGTCCTTTGCGAGGGGGACCTGTGAATTCATTTGGGGACAGTGTTCAGTCTCCATGGGTCCTCAGACATTGGTGATAAGTAATACTTATCAAAGAATCTAAAAAACGCAGGTGTGTGTGTGTGTGTGTGTGTGTGTGTGTGTGTGTTTCTTCTAATCATTCTTTCTGTGTCTCAATTCACTGCCTTGCATACATACCTTCTGGGTCCCTGGCTCCTATGAACTCTGAAACAAATAAAGGGAAACTTACTAAATGACCTGAAATTCTAGGCAGGGAAATTAGATTATCACTGAGAAGTAGCAGAAGGATTGGCAAATCTGGCTCTGGAACTATGCTTGAGTTGAGGCCACTGCAGATTAATTTCTGTATCTGTCTCTTTAAGGTCTAATATAGGTGTGGAGATTATGGGAAAATCCAATGTGATTAGTGTCTCCAAATGCAACAGTAAGTGGTTCTGTGCTTGGCGGGCGGTGCTTAACCCTGATCCATTTAAAGGTCCTTCTCTCTCTGCTGGGCTTGGTCACTGTCTCTGTTCTCATAAGGTGGGCCAAGGCACAAAGTCCGTAAGCGAATGAATGTTTGGGTTCACTAGGATCTTTCGTGCCTCCTTTAGTACCCACATCTCTCAGTGTCAACTCCTCAGGTAGAAGGTCATCTGCCCATCCTACACAACAAGCTGCAAATGACAAAACTCTCTCCCAGTTCTTTACCTAGTTCTTCATCCCCACCACCACCGTCTCCTGCCACCTTCCCAGCCTCCCTAGAATTATCACTTAGACATCTCCAACGTGCCATCTAGGAGTCAATTTACAACCATGCTTCACTCTTGGTGTTTGAAATTATTTCAAAAAACCTCACATACGTATTCACCTCTCTTTCTCTGTCTCTCTGTCTCTCTGTCTCTGTCTCTGTATCTCTCTCTCTACTTTGAACAGCTCACAAATACCACCTAAAATGATTTAAGACAACTGTACCTTTTGTCTCTCTACATTCACCATGGAAAGTTTGCTATTGCTATGACATTTTTCCACATAGAAGGAAAATACATGTTTCTGATTGCAGAAGTGATATGTAGTACTTATCCAGGAAGCCCAAAGTCTTATGCTTGACCCTCAGTACCACATAAACACACACCCATGATTTCTAAAATCTGGAATTGTTGACAGGAACATGAGGTATTCAAGGCCATCCTCACCTACATACCAAGTTGAAAGCAAGCCTGGGCTACATGAGACCTTGTCTCAAAGACAGACTTAGAGAGGAAGAGGGAGAGAAATGGTAGTTCTTTTCTCACATATATATCAGTACCTTCATGGTAGTTGTTAAAATATTAGCTTACCCTTTTGGATTGATGAATAATTGTGACCCCAAACTTGCTGCCACACCATGCTAGCCACCCACACACCCACACCTTCCCAGGTCTCTTCATTACCCAGAGACTAAGGTTTAAGATCTGGCCCTTCTTAGACCTCCAGGCCTCTCTCAATGAAAGTTGGTCAATTTATAGCCAATTTCACCCTGCATTTATCTCAAAGGGTTCATACGTTCATGGTGACATTTTAGACACCATGAGAGCATGTGACAAGCTCAGGAGCCATGTCGAATAACACGCTCACATTGAAGAGCTCTCACCCTATATAAGAATTGATGAGGCTGGTCTCATGGCAGGGTTAACAAATAGTTAAATTTTAGTTGAAGGCCTTTTTTATTCTGAGAAGAAAAACCCCATGTACTTTCAGATAAACATTAATAGGTATCACTTAGGAAACTCACATCAGAGAAAACTTTTACTGAAAATAAACATTCCATTATGAAAATAATTTAATAAGCTTCTTTTTATTGTCACCAACCACCCACACGCCTATCTAGAGGGTTCTTTGGAAAAGATGGAAGGCTCTTAAACACAGGTGAATAGAACAGTGTTTTAG